AGAAAATAATCAAGCAAGAAGTTAGGCTTGGGCTCCTTCTAATACCGTCTCAAAACCCAGCATCACTCTGTACACAATTCCATTACACAAAACGATCCAAGAATTATATAATTTTTATGCATTTAAGGAGGACTTTAATTATCTTCCTTTATTTACTTTTCACCCAACTCTCTCTGATGAATTTCTAAAATGGGTTTTCTAGAGAGAGAGGAGTAGTCGATACTGTTTTACATAAGAGGCAATACGGAAATTTTCTACACACAGAGAAAGGAAGATTTGCTGGGAAAAATGGAGAAAGAAGAGTAAAAAAGCAGGTGATGAATTAGAAAAGAGAAAATTAATTGTAGAGAGAGAAAGAGAAATCGTGGGCCCCGTAGGGGTTACATGAAGAGAACTTGGACGAACTTTTGATTCTGTTCTAGGAAAAATAAAAATAAATTACTACGATAAAATGCAGGAATCTTCTGCTTTCAAACCTCCCACCGCATAAAAGTGTGTCATCAAACCTTTTTCGTCTTTGTTTCAAAATTATTTTCCCTTCATATCTCTCCACATAGATATTTCCCTTCTTCAATTTATTTAGGGTGTTGCTATTTACGGCCCCCTATTTTACTACTCACCGTTTTCCTTGGACGATTTTGCTCTTTTCATTTTTTCTAAACATCTCAGAGGAAAGTGTATGGTGAAATATCGTCAAATTCGGAGGTACAAAAATTTTTGTGTCCGGCTACCGGAACCGGATGGCTTTTAGCCCATCCGGCCGCCGGAACCGGACGGTTTATAAGCCGTCTGGCCGAACTTTTCGGACGGGTTAAAAGCCGTCCAAAAAGTTCGGCCGGTCGGACGGGCTATGTCCGAATCGGCCGGCCGGACGGCTTAATAGCCGTCCGAAAACGACGGCCGGTCGGAACCAGTCCGTCCGGTTCGACCGGCCGGACAATTTTTTATTTTTTATTTTTTAAAAAAATTATTTATAAATTGGACTATATTATTATGTTATAAATTATTATGTTACATTTTAGTCTTGGTTATGCTATAAATTGGACGTTTATCGTGTTAGAAGTTACAAATTATTATGTTACATGTTGATTATAATATAAATTGGACGTTAGATATTATCGTGTTACGAGTTAGAAATTATTATATTACATGTTAGTCTTGGTTATGTTATAAATTGACGTTAGATAGTATCGTGTTAGGAGTAACAAATTATTATGTTACATGTTATAGTTGATTATATTATAAATTGGACGTTAGATATTATCGTGTTACGAGTTAAAAATTATTATATTACATGTTAGTCTTGGTTATGTTATAAATTGACGTTAGATAGTATCGTGTTAGGACTAACAAATTATTTTGTTATAGTTGATTATATTATAAATTGGACGTTAGATATTATCGTGATCGTGTTAGGAGTTACAAATTATTGTGTTACATGTTAGACTTCATTATGCTATAAATTGGACGTTAGATAATATCATATTATGAGTTACAAATTATTATGTTACATGCTAGAATTAATTATCTTAATTTAACATGTTATAAAAATATAAATATTGTACTATACAGCAGGAGTCATGGGAAGATTTTGGAGGAGATGGTGTTGATTACAGTCTGCGTTTCGATACCTGTACATTATATAATAGTGCTCAGGACGCTATTGAAGCTGCAAAACACCAGGCAATGCTGAATGGTTTCCTATTAATAATTTCGAGCCACAAAAAGAAAATGGTCAGGCTTTTGAAGTGGCATAGAGGCGAACGGTACAGGCGAAAATTCTAGAAAGACAAAAACGAATAAGTGCGGCTGCAATTTTGAGATCAAAGTAAAAAAGGTGTCTGACGCTCCATACTGGAGGATCTGTAGATGTAGCAATGAAGAGAAGGGCTACCATAACCATACATTTGCTGTGTATCCTGAGGGTCATCGCCAGTTGAGCGGCCTCAGAGGTTCATCTAAGAAAATTGTTCGTGATATGACGGACGCTCAGGTGGCCCCGACAAAAATTATGGCCGCGCTGAAGGAAAAGAATCTGGGAGACAACGTTCATGTGCGACAGGTATATATATTTATATCTTGTAATATATGTTTTAATTAACTTTTTGAAGTTAATTATGATAATTACTAATTTTTTATATATAAAAATTATTGTAATAATTAATAAATTTTATTATATTACTAATGTATTATTATTGTGATAGTTAAAATTATTTTTATCAAATTAATCGCATTAATATACTTTTTATTTATTAACATAATCTTTTTTTTTTAAATTATAATAATCAGTATAATTAACGCTAATCGGTGACAGGTATATAACTTTAGAGATAAGCAGCGGAAAGAGAGTTTCGACGGTAGAGACGTTCCTTCCCAGCTTATGCATTTGGCCGTGAGCAGCGAGTATACAGTTTATGTAGAATCCGATCCGAACACGAAAGCGTTGACGCATATATTCATGGCCCATCCTGCGTCGATCAATCTATTCCGGACATATCATTGGTATGTCGGCATAGATTCCACGTATAAAACCAACAGGTATGTTACTTTATAAATACTTTATTAATATGAATCTTAAATAGTGTGTTTGATTAAGTAAACTTTTATTTGATTGTATTTTTTGTCTTCTTGGTCTTATTTTCACAGGTACAAGATGCCGTAGAGATGATTGGGATGACACCGTGCAACCAGAACTTCCTAATTGCATATGCGCTCATCAGGGACGAGAAAGAGGCCAGTTACGACTGGGTTCTAGAGAAGTTGAGACTACTGATAATAAAAGTTATTGTAATAATTAATAAATTTTATTATATTACTAATGTAATAGTTAATAAATTTTGAAGTTAATTATGATAATTACTAATTTTTTATATGTAAAAGTTATTGTAATAATTAATAAGTTTTATTATATTACTAAAGTATTATTATTGTGATAGTTAAAATTATTTTTATCAAATTAATCGCATTAATATACTTTTTATTTATTAACATAATTTTTTTTTAAATTATAATAATCATTATAATTAACGCTAATCGGTGACAGGTATATAACTTTAGAGATAAGCAGCGGAAAGAGAGTTTCGACGGTAGAGACGTTCCTTCCCAGCTTATGCATTTGGCCGTGAGCAGCGAGTATACAGTTTATGCAGAATCCGATCCGAACACGAAAGCGTTGACGCATATATTCATGGCCCATCCTGCGTCGATCAATCTATTCCGGACATATCATTGGTATGTCGGCATAGATTCCACGTATAAAACCAACAGGTATGTTACTTTATAAATACTTTATTAATATGAATCTTAAATAGTGTGTTTGATTAAGTAAACTTTTATTTGATTGTATTTTTTGTCTTCTTGGTCTCATTTTCACAGGTACAAGATGCCGTAGAGATGATTGGGATGACACCGTGCAACCAGAACTTCCTAATTGCATATGCGCTCATCAGGGACGAGAAAGAGGCCAGTTACGACTGGGTTCTAGAGAAGTTGAGACTACTGATAGGCCAAGACGTATATCCTTATGTGTTGTCAGTGACAGAGAGTTGGGTTTACACACTCCTATTCAGAGGCATTTTCCTAAATCAGCCCACTTACTCTGCACGTGGCACATCAATAAGGATGTGGAAGGCAAAGCCTACAAACTATTTGGGAAGAGTAAAAAATTCTCGGAGATTTTCACACACAGTACGTGGAAGGCGATTGCAGAGGCCAGTACGTTCGATGCCTACACCGATGCCGTTGCCGAGCTGCAAGCAAAATATTCGAAGTCTCCAGAGGTGATACGGTATGTGGAGAGCACATGGTTAGGGCACCGCGAGAAGTTTGTGAAGGCTTGGACCAACCGAGTGACACATTTT